GTCTAACGTGGAACGTCTTAAGAGAGATTGCACTAACGTTGTAAAAGCGATGCAGACAGAATATGTAATAACCTATCGAAATTTGAGAATGTATGAGATGAAGACAGAATATGTAATAACCTATCAAAATTTGAGAATGTATGAGATGAAGACAGAATATGTAATAACCTATCAAAATTTGAGAATGTATGAGATGAAGACAGAATATGTAATAACCTATCAAAATTTGAGAATGTATGAGATGAAGACAGAATATGTAATAACCTATCAAAATTTGAGAATGTATGAGATGAAGACAGAATATGTAATAACCTATCAAAATTTGAGAATGTATGAGATGAAGACAGAATATGTAATAACCTATCAAAATTTGAGAATGTATGAGATGAAGACAGAATATGTCATAACCTATCAAAATTTGAGAATGTATGAGATGAAGACAGAATATGTAATAACCTATCAAAATTTGAGAATGTATGAGATGAAGACAGAATATGTCATAACCTATCAAAATTTGAGAATGTATGCGATGAAGACAGAATATGTAATAACCTATCAAAATTTGAGAATGTATGAGATGAAGACAGAATATGTCATAACCTATCAAAATTTGAGAATGTATGAGATACTTATGCATCATGATTCTGAGTTGTTATTCCCATATCAATGGCAGATAATGCATCAGAGTTTTCTCCAAGAAAAGATCAGGCGCGTGTTCATTGAAGCCACCCTTACAAATAGTCTGCGTCAACAATAGCCTAAGCAGGCCTCTAAAGCTATATGGGGGTAACTGTGTAGAACTTTTCATACAGAACCTGGTCAAAGAAGTCAACTACATGAATCGCATTCCACCGGTAAAAAATTATAATGTGGATGAAAGAAAACCTTTAAGTCTTTTCTCGAATATCCTTTGAGCCACTGTGTGATGACAAAGCTAGATATAACTGTAATATTACTGATCAATATCGTGGGGCAGCGCATAATAAATGCAATTAAGAACTAAGGACGACAGAATTTATTCCAATCGTATTGTATAACTTTAGAAGTAAGGATTCGTATTTCGTACTTACAAATTGTCTTAAGGTGGAAAAGAAAGCAACGTTCTAAACAAATAACTTCAAAAGATATTTAACATTTTCTCTGGGTGTGGGTGAGATGCTTTTCGCAGAGAGCTTGCAGTTCATGAAAAAAAAACTTCATTTAAATATCTGGCTACGAAAGCACAATTGTTGAGACAGACTGCAAGTGAATTTGTTGCCGATAATCATAGCCTGCTAATTCGCAAAATAGTTCGATCGTATGACTATTGCACCTCCATATTCTATAGTTGGAGAGCAATAAACACTCTGTTGAAGAAGACGCAAAAACTTTCAGCATCTGGAATGAACTCAGTATACACTATTTAAGCAAGTATCCTAATCTTGAGGAAGTATTTGTAACGTTTCATAAAAGTGCCATATTTCACGCTGATGTTTTCTTGGCATTATTTGAGTCCCATTCTACAGTTTACAAAACTCAATGTTCAGATATGCATAAAGCTGTTTGAAAGGGAATTAGCAGCCGAATTTATGTCATCACGAACATTCATGCTTCATTCAACAAAATAGATACCTGCCCAGCTTTGGCAAGACGCAGGCAATAGAGCATATTTCCTATTTTGACTAGAGTAATTTGTTTATTTGGGCCATATTGCAGACGCTTCTTCTGGATGATTTTTCCTCAATGCCACCAAAATAACTTACATAATATAATATTAAGTGGCTCTGATTACACAAGTTACATAATATAATATTAAGAGGCTCTGATTACACAAGTTCGTGTTTGATCTCGAGTATCTTGCTGCAGATGACAATGTGTACAACGACTACACTCTGGCGCAGGAAAGAGTGATGATGGATGGATGACTCAATGTCAAATCCTTATTCTGTAAGGATTCTGTAGTGCTTATTCTGTAGTGCTTAAGAACTAAATTGGCTTTGCCAATTTTAGAATGCCTAAGTTGATTCTAAACTTGCTAGCTAAAATGCGCTATCATATCCGCTACAGAAAATGATGTTAGTGTCATGACTTAGGATAGTGACTTATGTCATCATGTCGAGAGATTTAGACAGGATGCATAGGTGAAGTCTTACAGTGATTGGAATCTGCAGATATGAATAGCATCAGGAAACTATTTCGAGCTTCAAGAATATGAAGAATTCAGTCGTTGGTCAAACAATGGAAAATATAAGAATATGAGTCCGTATAGACCCAGAAAACGACGTGGCGGCGTAACAAGTTAGTGGCCAATCCTGGTTTTGTTTCAGTGAAAAGTTTTTCAAAGAAATCAGATGCAGTCCACAGAAGAAAAATAATACTAATAATCGCTTAAGCAAATATCATGAAACAATTAATGAATCAATTGTTAAAAGATAAAAAGAGGAGCACATGGATACTATCAAAGAGGTCAGTGCACTGAGAAGCTAAATATCTTAGCATGATACTTTAGAGAAGCGTGCCATAACATTAATACGATACTCTTTATTAGATGCCAATACAAACACAACCACTTCTTGACAGTTCAAATATGGTAACCTTACGGCACAACCACAATTTGACAAGCAAATTGTACATATTGATGATTTTGTTTTCATCGGTAATTGATTGTTGTTCGAATGATAGCAATGTGCTTTTGCAACATAGACCAATAAAATGTGAACTTTAACGCAAAAATATCTTCACTTTATTATAGATATTTATAAAAAGATTAATGCATATTTGAAAATGATCTTATTCTGTTTAATGTACGATGTAGAGTAATTTTAGAGTAATTGGCTTGTATTTATACAGGGAAATTTAAATAATCCTATTTATTAATTAAATGACCTTATTGATACATTACTGCTGGAATAGGTTTTAGATCTAATAGTGTTAAAGTAGTTCTGAATATATTATTTCAAATATTTCATATATGTTGAACGCTTTACTGTATCAAATGCACAATCATATCTTACGTGTATATGAGTGATTTCACAGTCGAGTATATGCTTCTACCTACTTTGTATGCTACAATATATAGTTATGTAGATATTTACCTTTTGGCGGCCATTGGCAGTCCTCTTTGTAAATTTATATATTCGTTCATTTCTTTTTTCTACAGCTTCTACTTTCATTCATATTGATTAAATAAATTTAAGACGCACTTATAATTTAAACCTGAAATATGGTTAAAATGGAGACAGTAGAGCACAACAAACACAACACGTTTAGTTTCTTGAACTCTGAAAGCGGAGCCATTCACGTATCGCCAAGTATACTGAAATGAATGATAAATATAAGAAAGCAAAATGTCAAACTATCAAGAGCAATTAAGACTTTTAGATGTATTTACAGTTCATATATGCTTTAATTAATAAATAATTTTGTGGACACATTCGAATATTACAGAGTCTGTGAGTTTGTTTCGTTACCACACTGCATGTCTTCCTCTTCACACCATTACCTGAAGTACCGAAACAATGTCATCCTGAATCTTTTATAATTAGGAGGTTCAACGATGAAATCGAAATTATTTTTTTTCTAACAGAGCACCACAAGTATGTTCTGTCGATTTAAATATCGAATCACAAAAATGTAAAATATTTCAGCTGCATTGCGACTAATTACTTATTGTTTATTATAATTGCGACTTTGTGAAAGAATAATTCAGATAATGGTATATTTTAATTAAATACTTGATAATGGATAATTCAGACATATTTTATGCTATGACAGTCCAACAGTCCATTATATCTAATAATTCAATTAATTGTATATTCGATGTCTTTGATAAGAGATTTTTCAAATCAGTACATTATTGTAACTTCGTCCGAGGTGTTGGATAAATCAAACAGTTCTGTATTAACATTAAGTCATTGCAATAGGATAATCCAAAAACTTCTCTTTTATAACTAACTCCGTAGTATAAGGTTTCGACTGAATAGTCTAAAACGAAGCAATTGAAAAGCGGAACAAAGTTTGCTAATATTAATAAATAAATATATTTCTCCAGCTCCACGGAATTTAGTTTAGCTATTCCTACTATGGTCTTAGAAAGGAAGAGAGAGAGAGAGAGAGAGAGAGAGAGAGAGAGAGAGAGAGAGAGAGAGAGAGAGAGAGAGAGAGAGATGCATGTCGCATTTGTCCATCGCTATATTTTGTTGGTAGACAATTATAAACTTTATAAATAATTATGGACCCCCCTGAAAAACAAAATGGAAGCATGAAATAAAATACCGTCTGCGTATGTCTATTAACCGAGAAATGTAAGGTACAAACTCAACATGATTTTGCAGTGTGTTATCAATGAGTGTGTGTCTTTGTTTTGTTTTTCTGTTTTTAACTTAGTTTTAAAATTGTAGTTATATCACTACAATCTTTGCAGTGTTGCAGTTTATAATGATGTCTGACACGGGGGGAATGGAGTCATCATGCCGCATACCACATGTAGCACCTTAATTTGATATGGCGCCAACCAGTCCTAACCATAGCTTCTTAATGGTGAGCGCTGAGCGTGGCAGCTGCTAGTACCACTTTTATATGTTTTTGGTGTGACTCAACTGGGGTTCAGAGAGATTGAAAATCCCTACTGAAAATTGTGTATCATGTTAAATTCAATTGGAAAGCGGGGATTAATAAATGTCATTTTTTTCTTCCGTAGATATTGAATAATAGGTAAAATTTCATCACTGATTTAGAAAGCACAGAAGTGATAGCTTACTGTTAGATGTGTGATGTGATGTGATGTGATTATGATTTTTAACGTAGCTTTAACAATTTTTCAGTCATATCACTACGATATCTGCAGTGTGACTGTTTATAATGATGTCTAGCACTGCATCATCATGCCGCAGACATGTATAGCATGATTTCCCACTCTGTGACATTATCCTGAAACCAGGTCGACTAGTCCTGACACTAACCCCTTAATGATAAGCGTCAAGCGAGCCAGTTATTAGTACCATCTTTGTAAGTCTTTGGTATGACTCGACCGGGGAACGACCCCATGACCTCCCGTATCTGAGGCGGATGCTCTAACCACTAGGCCACCAGAGCGTTTCTTACTGTTAGAACAATCTAGTATGGAAACAATATCGATATAAGGGTATTAATGCGCCATGGGCGGGATATCAATTTCGTATATATTCACAATGGAGGATCAAAATTCTAAGTTTACTATGCCAAAACTACGGCTACGAAAAAGACATCAGTCAACATCCAGAACTCTGTGAATGCATGAAGTAGATTTCATTAGAGGATATAGATCTCCAGAGCAAAATATGGTTCAACTATTGAACCTCAAACCTCAGGCGAAAAAAAACAAACAAACAAACAGACCGAGTGGACTATCCGACGAGGTGATGTGAGATGTCTCTGAGAAGAAACCACATAAATAAGATCAAAATAACTATGGAAAACTATCAATAATAAAAGCCAAAAAAGCAATATTAGCTTAGAATTAAAAATGTGCTAACTTAACGGCAAAAAAAGACAAAAGAAAACAACAAGAAGAGCTTAATACTACCTTTCTTAAAGAAGAACCTTTAGAGTGTGAATTTCAGTGATATTAATGAGACCAGAGATGCAATTACAAGGAATACTAACGATTATGACATTATTCTAATGCAATAAACTCATACTATGTCTAACGAAACAGTCGAAAAGGTGGAAGAAAAACCTAAGTTTTGTGAACGAGCACCAAACAAATACTAAATATGGAGTAGACACAGCCAAAGGATTAAAAAGATAAAGACAAAAAATACATAAAGACAACTCGTATAATTATTTCATCCTTTATGAAGGCAATCCTTACAGATACAAAGAGGATAATGTATAATGCATGACAGCACCTCACTTCTATTTCTCCATGGCAAGGATCAATAAATCAAAGAAAGATCTGGAAAACTAGCCATAGATGTAAAAGTCCTATGAAACAAATTAGAGTTAGGGTAGCTGACCGAATCTTAATTCCAAACAAAATAAAATCTTTTCTAATTTTTTTAAAACCAAATTGTTGTTCTTTCAAACACGCAACAACAGACTATGGAGGGAAAACATTCAGACATACATAAAAGAATTTAAATGTTCGGAAAAAGGGGGTTTCCTCAAAACTAGACACCTCAGACATAAGCAGAGGACTAAGAGGGGTCCACAGCAATATATCAATTTACTCCGTGTAGATACTACTGTTATTAGACCACAACAATCACGTTTTCCCAGAGCGCCTTTGACAAGACAAACTTTACTATAGATGCAGATTTTGATTATAAGACTATCGTGTTTCATTTTTCGGCGATGCAGATAATACGTTATTAGTTTAAAAGCTCCCTTGGTGTTTTAAATGTAATGTTAAACAAAGGTGGCTTGTGCGATGTTCGATCGATAGTCCAACATACACTATGATATATGCTGACTTTAAATCACTAGATATGACATTTTTGAGACAAGCAAATGATTTAGTTCGCATCTTCTATCATGACACAACACATAAAAACATTTTCTAAACCAGGCTTCACTACGAGGTAGTAACAGTTCAAATCAGGTGCCAATATGGATTAATCAATATAATCTTTATATTTCTACTACTACTACTACTACTACTACTACTACTACAACTACTACATTTACTAACGCTGCTGCTACTACTACTACAGTTACTAACGCTGCTACTACTACTACTACTACTACTACTACTACTACTACTAATAATAATAATAATAATAATAATAATAATAATAATAATAATAATAATAATAATAATAATAATAATAGAAGACGAAACAAGTCTTTAGTCAATGTTTTTTTTTTACTAAGGGCATTGCAAATTGGATCTTTTCCCAAAATCGAACATCGTCTTGGTTTACATACGTATTTGCTTGTATATAATGTTTCAGTTCAGGGACCAGTTTAGATTTATCAATGTCACCCAGCAGAATCATAATGATCCTGTTTTTCTTTTCTGATAGTAGCCTTTGATAAGCAATCTGAAATTCGTAATGGCACCAGTCACTCTCGATAAAGTTCTTTGATAATACCACTATTACTCTCTTACTGGATTCAACACTAGACACAATGTTTTCTGCAATCGCAGCTCCGACAGAGAAATTCCTATAATGAACGCAGATTCTGTAATTAAAATACTTTTCCAGAACTGGAATTAATTCATGCACCACATAGTCGTTATCCTTACTGCTGTATGAAACAAAAGCATCGTACGGTTTGCACACATCTTGCTCTTTTTCTTGATTGCAGATTCTCCAGCCGCACTTTATGTAAATCCAGACTTTCAGAAAATCACGGTTCAGAAAGATGACAGAAGCAATAATTGCTATAATTACAAAGGCCCCGAGTAAAGTCGCAAGTGCTGACACCACGTTATGTGCTAATTCCTTACTCTGACTCACGGTAATAACTGGACACAAACCCGACAAGGACGTAATCGCCAGTACTATTGTCGTGTTCTGGAGTGAAGTAGTGTTTGCGGTGCAGGTCAACGCAGAAAAGTCTTTTACTGTTTTAACGTTGGAATATAAGAAATTGCCAAAATGTACTAGAAATTCACAATCACATGTCCATGGATTGCCAGAAAGACTAAGCGATGATGCAAAAGATAATTCGTAGAAAACATATTCATCTACCTTGCGAAGATAGTTTTTGCATAAATCCAGTTTGTACGTAATAGGAAGATGACTGAACGATCCAACTTCTATAAAAGTTATTCTGTTCTTGCTCAGTGATAAATACTGTAATTTGTTCAGTCCAAAGAAAGTCTTTGAGGATATTGTAGATATAGAGTTTTCATTAAGATGCAGTGTCTTCAATGATGATAATGTCGAAAATGTGTAATCTTGTATCGTGTGTATATTGGAATCATTCATGGAAAGATATTCGAGGTGTATCATCTCTGGGAAGGAATGTATCGAGAGTAGTGTTATGTTATTTCCATCCAGGTACACATGAGTTGCTGCCAGAGGCATTTCTTTTGGAACTTTGTCAATCCCTCTTCCTTCACATCTGACCGAGTTCACTGATCTGTCACTGTTGTGAAAACACGTGCATATATCGGGACAGATGTGCAAACATGCGCACGCATCTACGTTACAGCACGAACAATTCAAAATGCTACAATCACGTTTATACTGACAAACGAAATCATCGATAGCAAGTCGGTAGAGTATGGCTTTACCATCAAATAATGTGCATCTGATGTCATACAGATCTGAAATACGAACACAGTACTTATTTGGACCCAAGAACCATTTTTTAATCCATTGCATGTTACAATCACAAGTGAAGGGATTTCCTCCTAGTTTTAACAGAGTAAATCTCGATGACGTTTTTAGCGCATTTTCATTGAGATACCTGATCTCATTATATGAAAGATCGAGAAATTGAAGATTATGTAAGGATTCGAATGCACGACTAGATACTCCTTCAATTTTATTATTCGAAATCATTAAAGTTTCAATGTCTTCAAATGTGCTAAACAAATCATAGGATATACTCAGCCTAATATTATTGTAACTCAAATCAAGCTTACTAAGACGTGCAAAATTATTGTATCGGAAAACATTTATGTCGGATATATTATTGTTTCGTAAACTCATTTCGATAATTCGTGTGTCTCCGAATGCATCGTATTCTACAAGGTATATTTCATTATTTTCAATGAGAAGTTTCCGCAGGCGTTGTAAATTTCTGAACGCTCTCGCCCTGATAGTTCTAATTCTATTGTTGTTCAGGAAGATCACCGCAATTTCACTGGCACCTAAGAATGTCGAATTATCAAGGTACTTTATATTGTTATGACTCAGATCCAAAACTTGCAAATTAATGAGTCCTTGAAACGATGGCAGATATTCTATAGCATTATAAGAAATATAGAGCACACGTAGTGCGAGGAGTGGTTGAAGACATTCTCTTTCTACGATATGAATCTTATTATGATGCAAAGCCAGGATATACAATTTTGATAAACCAGTAAACGCTTTCTTACCTAATCTTTCAATAAAATTTCCAGAAATATTTAATTCTTCGAGATTTTCTTGATACGTAAATACACTGTCAGTTAGATTCCTGATATAATTGTGAGAAATATCAAAATATTTCAACTGTGAAAAGAGGCTGAGTGATGACATCTGTATGTTTTCAATAAAGTTGTTTTTCAGAACAAGCTCTTTCAAATTTTGATGATTTCTTATTTCATTAAATATGGATATATTTAGTGATAAATTAGATAATTGAAGATAAGTTAAGTTTCGGAGATGGCTAAGTGTTCCAGAATAAAAGTTTGACAGTCTGTTATCAGCTAAGCTCAATTTTTCTAAACCATTGAGGTCCTGGAATACATAACGGGATAATGATGTTATTAGATTATTTTCGATGTCCAGCGATATCAGCAAATACAGTCCTCTTAAGGAATAATCTGCGATCTGTTCTATTTTGTTATCACTGACAGAGAAACGTAGAAGATTATCGGAAATTTCAGAAATATTTATAATTATTTTCCGAAGACTATTTTTGCACAATTCAATTACATGTAAGTTTCTAAAGGAGTCATTGCATAAAAGACCAGATTCATCTAATGTTCCGATATTATTGTCAGTAAAATTGACCAATCGTAGATGGTGCAGATGACACAGAGATGGTGCAGACGACATTCCGCTCTGTATAATCGATAATTCCTCGAGAGATGATAGTTTCTCAAATACTGCGGTGTGGAAAGTTATATGTTTAGCATTGTATATTATAAGTTCCTTCAGAGCCATCATGCCATAGAACGTTTTCTCCGGCACATAATCAAACTGACAGTTTGAAAAAGTAAGGGAGATACAAGATTGAAGTCCTCTGAACATAAAGGGATAAAGCTTACTGTTCATCGATGTAAGAGGATCACAATAAAGGGTTAGGATACTTGGTAATGTAGTACTGTTGAAGACGTCGAAATAAGTTACATCATTAATGTACTGAACATTACAACGTATATACACTTGGCGACTGGGATTCTCGAGCAGATCACAATCACACTCTTTGGGGCAAACATAGTTCTCTAAGTCG